TATACTTGAAGAGAAGAATAGGAGTTAATTACATAATTAACTCACAAGTATATTTGAACCTAAACGAGTGTCAAAAGCGGTATTATATATTTAATAAAAATGAAAAAAAAAAAAAGAAAGAAAGAAACGTCGTTAGTTAGGAACTCAATTAATTTACATAGTGCTAACACGGGTTCTTCGTTTACATACGACTTAAAAAAGATCACAGTATTAGGAAATCATTCGCCATATTCTAAATACATTTTCTTATATTACTTTTTAATATCCCTTTAAAATTTCTTTTTTGATTGCAAAGCAATGAGAGAGAAAAAAAAAAAAAATAAAGAACTAAGAAGAAAATATGCAAACGTATGCACATAATTAATACATTTAACTATTTTAGTATAGTAATAATAGTCTCCTGTGTATGAATGTATAAGTATGTATGTGTGTTGTTATAAATCATAAATCGTATATATAGATATACATATATATAATATACATATATATATATGTATATAATATAAGTATATAATTGCTCGAGAGGAGATAAATCGCGTATAATTATTATTTGAAATATTTCGTAGACTATCGTACCCATCTGTGAACAAACGACAACTAATTTCCATAATTTAATACTACCAATAATAATTATTAATATGTTTATAGTAGTTCGGGTGCACGTGCATCTCTCTCTCTCTCTCTCTCTCTCTCTCTTATATTTTTTGTCTTTTTCTTTTTAAGGCTCTGTGGATAAATTGGCATCATATAAAAAATATACATGTTAGGAAGCATAAGTACAAATAGTGGTGGCGACCTTGATAGATAAGGACGATCTTTCTTGTGTGTGTAAGATTAATATCTATTATCTGACTAATATTCTCGAATTGCATCTTCGTCTTGTTGTTTTTTTTTTTCTTTTTTTCTTTTTTCATTTTTGCTTTTTTCTCCCCCTATTCTGATTTCTCTTTTTATTTTTTTTTTTTACACATTTTTATTTATTTCTTTATTTATATATATATATTTCTATTAACAGTTAGAGTATATATACCTATTCACATAATCACGATGATAGATGAATGCACTTTTATTTCGTCCCTTTCCCCATATCCGTTTCTTCGTTTTCATGCGAATAATCTAATAGTATGTATAATAGTATCTCAATAGTATCTCGTTTTGATTCGAATCGCCCATTAAGTAAGTTTTTCTTTTCTCCCCAAATTTAATTTCAAAAGTAACAAACCAAAGAACGTATTTCTTTTTTTTTTTTTTTTTTTTTTTTTTTTTTTTATGGGTTTTTTTTTTTTTTTTTTTTTTTTTTTTTTCTTGTTGTTGTTGTTGTTGTTGTTATTTAAATATATTTATCAAAAAGTGTTATTATGCATCTTCCGGTTGTTATTATTCGAATACAATAGGGTGT